TTATGGCAGAAAGCAAAGAACTAAAGAGCCTCTTGATGAAAGTGAAAGAGGAGAGTGAGCAAGTTGGCTTAAGACTCAACATTCAGAAAACAAAGATCATGGCATCTGGTCCCATCACTTCATGGCAAATAGATGGGGAAACAGTGAGAGACTTTATTTTTTTGGGCTCCAAAATCACTGCAGATGGTGATTGCAGCCATGAAATTAAAAGATGCTTGCTCCTTGGAAGAAAAGTTATGACCAACCTAGACAGAATATTAAAAAGCAGAGACATTACTTTGCCAACAAAGGTCCATCTAGTCAAAGCTATGATTTTTCTAGTAGTCATATATGGGTGTGAGAGTTGGACCATAAAGAAAAGCTGAGTGCTGAAGAATTGATACTTTTGAACTGTGGTGTTGGAGAAGAGTCTTGAGAGTCCCTTGGACTGAAAGGAGATCCAACTAGTCAGTCCTAAAAGAAATCAGTCCTGAATATTCATTGGAAGGACTGATGCTGAAGCTGAAATTCCAATACTTTGGCCACCTGATACGAAGAATGGACTCATTGGAAAAGACCCTGATGCTGGGCAAGATCGAAGGCAGGAAGAGAAGGGGACGACACAGGATGAGATGGTTGGATGACGTCACCGACTCAATGCACATGAGTTTGAGCAAGCTCTGAGAGTTGGTGATGGGCAGGGAAACCTGGCGTGCTGCAGTCCATGGGGTCACAAAGAGTCGGACACGACTGAGGGACTGTACCGACTGAACTGACGTTAGGAGTTGTCATTCCTGTGGAGCTTTTGGTCTTTCCTGAAGTGTCTACTTACCTCTTTTATGTTACTGATAAAAATAAGCACGTCTTCATCTAATCAGGAACAGACCAATGTAACATATCTGATTTCTTCTTGAAGGCGTTCTCCCCAGAACCCACCCTTCCAGGTTTCACCGTAGCCATATTACCAAGATTTCTTCTCAGCACACTCTGATTCCACTGTTTCACTTTGTTTTGGGGAGCCTTTGTTTTAATTAGTCATCTATTTCTTGGATTTTTTCCCTTCGGTAGATTCTTCAAGTAACTTTTTCAGAAAAGTTGAATGGAAAGCAAACAATGCCTTTATTTTGTCCTTGATAATATCATTAGTTTTAGAGTTATAAGAACACAATAGGGACTAACCAATCCTATACACACACAAGCACACATAAAAGCACACTTTCAGGGCATTACAATTTTATCTTCCATTACTCAGAGTTGTTCTTGAGAAGTCTAATACCAATCTGAGTCACAGTCTCATGGAAGTAACCTAACCTATTTTTCTGACATTTTCCCTTAGAGATCCCATCTGGTTTTTGTGTTTTCCTTTCATTGCTTTTCACTTGGCAGTGGAAGGCATCTTATATGGAAACTACAGGGACTCCCCTGGTGGTGCAGTGGATAGGAATCCACCTGCCAATGTAGGGAACATGGGTTCAATCCCTGGTCTGGGAAGATTCCACATGCCTTGGGCAACTAAAGCTCTAGGGCCCTCAAATCACAACTAATGAGCCCTGTGCCACAACTACTGAAGCCTGTGCTCCTCAACAAGAGAAGACACTGCAATGGGAAGCCCAAGCACCAAAACAAAGAGTAGCCCCCACTCACCACAACTAGAGAAAGTCCATGCAGCAACAAAAACTCAGCACCACCAAAAAAATCATTAAAAACAAAACAAAACAAAACCTGTAGATGAAACTATCTATATGAAAACTCCTATTGTAGACCCAGCACCACCAAAAAAATAAATTAAAAAAAAAAGAAAACTATAGATGAAACTATCTATATGAAAACTCCAATTGTCATCATCAGTCCAGAAACATTTACTGATTTTATTGTCTCCATGCTTCTCATTTTTTGAAACAAACATTGGATCTGATTCTTGGACATCTCCATGATTGTTAACTTTTCCCATGTCTTAATCTTTTTGGTCTTTGTACTGAGAAACTTCCTCAAGCTTACGTTGTGGTTCTCTTATTTAGCCTCCTCAGCATTAGTTTTATAAGCTATCTCATTTTACTTCCACATTTTTTTAATTTCCAAGAAACTTCCTATTCTGTCCCCTTTTCATAACAATCTGTTCTTACTTATGGATGCAATAGTTTACCAAATTCCTGTGGAAATAGTTACTAGAATTTAACTTTTATTTTTAGCATTACTTAAAATTTCCTCCAGGGACTTCCCTGGTGGTCCAGTGGTTAAGAAACCACCTCACAATGCAGGGGATGGGAGTTCGATCCCTGGTTGCAATCTAAGATCCCACATGCTGTGGGACAACTAAGACCACAGCAAAAGATCCTGCATGACACAACAAAAACCCAATGTAGTCTAATAAAAATACATTTAAAAAAAAATTCCAGGTCCAAGTGGTGTTCCTGTGCCTCTTAGGAAAGTCCTCAGATGATGCTGATGTTAACCCCTGGTTAAGAACTACATACTTATCTAAATGATCAAATGGTCACTACTTGTCTCATAGGTCTAAAGGTGCAACAAAACATTTAAACTTGAAATCAGAGAATGAGTCTGAGGATGGGAGGCTGAACACATGGGAGAAACTCTTGTATTACCCAAAGCTTCTCTGAATTCCAATGTTTCATCCAGCTTTGAGGCCTATGGGAAATAGTAGGTATTTGAACACATAGTTCTTAATAAATTGATCATTTCTCAGTCTCATACACAGTACTGTTAGATCCAAGAGGACAGCAATCATCTTTCTGGCTTACCCTTGAGTCCTCAGTGCCTTGCAAAGACTGACAGGGAAGGTGCTCAGATGATCATTACATGAGAAATGTTATCCTTTAAGGTGGTTCACAAACCCCTAACCATTAGTCACTCTCTTCTGAGTTTATCCCAGTTTGTCACTTCTATTAAATTTTATCTTGGTCCCTTACTATGTTCGGAGCAACAAACAAGTCAGTGCATACATATGTCCATTTAAAAGCTTCCAGCAGACTTGAACATACTCAGGTCTAAAGCTTTTACTTTTTAGAGTTGCTATAATGGACAACTTGGCTCTAGACAGGATAAAAGGGTCATGCTTAGAACCACACATACCTGTTCCTGAAGAGAACTTTGTGCATGTGATTGCTCAGATCCTCCTGGTTGCATGACTGAAAGTCAAGCTTTCAATTTCGTCTGTAGTGACGTGCTCTCCCTTATTTTCAGTTCTTACTAGTCCACTTTAAGCTGCCATTGTGAATCTGGCAAAAACAGCCTGCTCTCCCTTTGATCCCAATTTCCTAACCATTGCCCTCACTGCCTGTGTGTTAGTGAAAAGGCAAGAGAAATTTACACTGCTTCTGTACACCTCACGAGATTAGGCTTATCTACAACAGACATCTGCTAACCTAGCTTTTGTACAAGCCTGGCCTGTCAGTCACACTAATAAAACTTTACAGATCCCTCACTTCCAAAGTAACTTAAATCATTTTCTATAGCCAGGCATAGTGCTGGATAATATCACTTACCTTTATCTACTCAATTTCCCTCATCCTTCTAAGACCAGCTTAACAGACACAATTACAAATTTCAGAAAGCAAAAATGTGGCCATTTTAAATTTCATTTTAAAAACTACAACAATCTTAAATAAGGCAACTGCCGATCAGCTGCAAACTGATGAAATACACACTATTTTAAAATCTTCTGTATTCAAACTTGGTTCACATCTCCTGGCAACGCATTTTAAATCCTTGTTTTTGTCTTGTACTTAGTAAAGGTTTCTGTTAACCAATTGTCTATTCTCTTCCCTCATGAGAATGTCCAATTTGGTGAAGTCTGGAAGGACCTCTCTTCTTCACAAATACAGAGGAGCTGTACATATAGACTTTAAAACAACTCAATTCCAAATTCTTTCACTAGATGCCAACACGATTATAACAATATAACTCAAACTTCCTCAGGGAGTATTTTTCAGAACTGATTTTCAGAATTAATCAAAACAAAGTCTCGTGTTCCATGAATATGTTTCCTGAAGTGACAATCTGTAAATTCTACCATTACACATGTGATAAACCAGCTCACGTCTATGACATCTTAACATTGTACAGGTGTTTTGACATCTGCCCCCTCCCTCCATACTTAGTCTCTTTGAAATGACAGGAAAAAAACCAACCAATCATAGGTTTAATGGGTTTAATTAAGTTTACCCCTTCAGTTCCTATTTGCAGCACCCAATATTCCTTTGAAACACCAGACAGACCCAGCAGTGACCAACAGTCAAGATCAGACCTCCAGTTAAAAGTTCAGGTTCTCTGAGCATTCTGTGTTGCAGTGGCACTTGTCCGAAATTGGTACATCCCTATCTTTGGGGAGCTTTAAATGTACCAGTGAAAAAAGCTTTTTCCCCTGCAAGGGGAAGAAAGAAAGTCATTCCTCAAACCCAGTGGAGATCTGGCTGTGAGGTCTTTCTTCTGTCCCGTGTCTTCAGGCTTGTGTTTTTGTTTTTTTTTTGCAGTGGAGCAAGAGACCAAATCTAACCTGAGTTACAAGAAACAAGACAGTGATGGCTATAAAGGGAGTGACCAGGAGCAGCAGAGACTCCTGTCCCTCCCACATCCAATATATGTGCTTCACAGAAAAACAAAAAAACAGGTCCACAAAATACAACAGCTAGAGTTACAAAAATCCATTCATCCAAGGGCGGTGGGAGGCAGGAAGGGAAAATGGGAGGGGAAATGGCACAGGGAGAAAGAGTATTCAAATCAGTCCAGGCACGGGGCTGGCAAATGTTAGAAAAGAGCTGCAGAAAAACCTGTGGTCCTTTCAGACTCACCAGTGTTTAAAATCCATACTGGTGTCAGGAAGATTCTGCCTTATGTGCACCAGAGACAAAAATCTGGGTTCCTCAGAGAGAAGGGAATGTGGGCAGGGCCCATGGCAGGGTGGGCTCTGCCTTCCCTGGGAGGGGGTGGAGGTGAACCAGGAGAAGAGCTGCCACAGCATCCTTCCGATCCCACCCGGCCCCTCCGGATGGCGGGTGACCGACTCAGCGGCCTGTGGCAGCCTTCAGTTTGGCAGGAGACGGGTGGGGTGAGGGCAATTTTTCCGCAGAAGTGGAGCTGCTCAGGGCCGACTGCAGGTAGACCGTCTTGTGGAAGAGTCTGTTGCTTAAGAAAACCACCAAGGAGAAGAGGCGCAACTGGAAAAGGCTGCAAGGCAAGAGACCCAACCTGTTAGACTGGCCAGTTGAGAAAAACTGTTTTAATCGTTTGGTCACTTGTTTGACTATTTTCCATTTAAAATGATACAGGGGAAAACAAGACCACTGAAATTTGATCAAGCGACTACAGATATTGGACATGCAGATTAAACAGGTAGCAACTACAGAAAACGCTGGGACTGTCACTGCCAGGAGGGCAGTGGAATCAGGCTCGATCCCTGATCCAGGAGGCGCCCACACGCACCACTACCAAGCCTGTGATCTAGAGCCCACGACCCGCAACACAGGAGAAGCCACCGCAGTGAGAAGCCCGTGCGCTGCAACGAGACAGAAGCCCCTGCGCGCTGCAAACAGAAAAAAGCCCACGCAGCAACCAAGACCCAGCACAGCCAAAACAAATACTTCAAGCTGTGGTCTGAAGATCTCATACGCTATGCATAGTTCACTTTCAGGAGAGTTTGAAGAGAAAGTCAATTACACTAAGATGCACACTTAACATTACTGGATAGCAAGAACATGTAAGACCCCAAAATAGATTGGAAATTTTTCTAATGCATGTATCCTCACTGACTTAACCAAAACTGATCAAAAGATTGGGGTTTTCTCTGAAGTGATCAAACTTCCAGAGTGCTAGTATTGCTAAAGATTCATTTTTAAAATACTGTTTTGTTATCATTATCAATAAACTCATGTAGTCAGATCACATGACCCAGTATTTTTTAAAAGGTTGGCCATTCTTACAAAATGAGCTTAACTATAGGTATAATTGTCTTATTCAGTGAACTGTTACATTTTAAGAATATGTGTAAATATGTATAATAGCATCAATTTTTGAAACAGAAATGCACACATATGCAGGGGGGAAATCTCGGGATACATCCCCGAAGTGCTACTCTCATAAAACTGTATATTGATACCTTCCCTCAATGTGAGGTTATTTTTTAAAAACTGTAAAAATGTCTCATTCACATAACTGCAGTGTTACGACCCCAGTATTTTGGACAGAAAATACTTGCTACATTTTAGCTAATACTGGCTAATACTTACTATGCTTTGCCAGGGGTCTTTGCTTCATTGGCGCTGATAATGAATAAAGGAAAGAGGATAGAGAAGAGGCAGCCACTGTTTTTGAAAAAAATAAAGAATTAGTCACCTTCAAAATAGCCATGACTTTGAAGATATTAGAAGCCCGAAGTTCGTTACCTCCAGTGCTAAATAGCATGGCTTAATGGACCCTTAAATCTATCAAACACATGTTTAAAATTTTTTTAAAAAGGGTTTTTCTAAACACTGGCTATGTTTAACTTTATTCCAGGAAGCAACATAGAAGAAAGAATATGGGATATAGGATCATGCAGACAATATTTTAATGCTAGTATTTCCTTGGCAGTCCAATGGTTACGATTCCATGCTTCCACTGCAGGGGGCTAAGATCCTGCATTCTTCAAGGTATGGCCCCCCACAAAAAAAAAAAATAATAATGCTGACAGACATCTATGACTATCTGTCAGGGAGAAAAATCCTACAGACCTCTAGACGGCCAAGTAAGAATGCAGAAAGCCTAGCACAGAACCAAGTGCATACAAGGTGCTCCCTACACTGAGTTATTATTATCATTTTTTAAAAAAATTAGTTCCCTTCAAGTCCTTGCAGTCCAATTACCTGACAATGTAGGAGGACTGCATTGCTGTGAGGAAAGCCAGGGGCAAACCAAATCCAAAGTAGTAAGGCCAATTCCTTTCTATGTTTGACAACCGTTGGTGCATTTCAATTCCTAAAACAAGGAGCCAATATAATTAGGCTGCATTACTTCCCTTTAGTCAAATGACTAAATATCGAAAACAATTTATTTGAGGTTTCAGTTTTAGGTTCAGATCTGCTATTTAGAACACAACTAAACTATATCAGAACTGCCCAAATCCCATAAAGCTTCTATGCAAAGATTTTACAACTGAACAATCACAATTTCAAAGCTGGCAAGCCAAGTCAATTCTGAATTCAATACCAGCACCATCCTATGTCAGTATTAGTTTTGAACAAAGCAAGATATATATATTATTTTTTAAAAAGGCAGCCATCCTCTAGAAATCAATTAATCTCTTTCAACCATCCACACCCAAATATGCCAAGGACTTTCAACATATCCCCCAAATGATCTGTATGCACCAGCATCAAATTAACTTCTCTGATTCAGAATAACTGGTGCTCATTTATGCCACTTTATGGCTCTGATGTTGAGCTCCACAGGTAGTCCTCCAGTGCTACATCCCCCAGCACCAAAGAGTTAAAAAAACCTCTAAGCCAAATGTAAGTCCCCTCTTGCCAAAAAGGCTGCTTCATTCCAATGATGGGTTTGCCAAGGGCCTCAGTACTGAAGAATTTAAGAAGTTTCCTTGGCAGCACCATTTCCAAACTGGGCCTCCAAGCTCTTGAGTTTCTTTGGACAGGCTTACCTTTATTGAACCAACGATATTCGAAGCAGTATAGTGAGTAGAGGAGAGACATATGCAGGAGACTAACCAGCTGACCAACAAGATGGATGGGAAAGAGACTCACAAACATCCCCTGAAGAACAAGTATGGAAAAGCTTAATTCCAACGCTTCGGAGACCTAACACTGTTCACCTGCCACTCTGATTTATCCCTCTCGCTCTCTACCCAGACAGCCGGAGAGCTGCTTCTCAAGTTTCTAAAATAGCAGGTGAGTGGAGAAGGCTCAGGGTGGGTGGGAAGAGCAGAGCAGGCAAATTCATGTGGTGCTTTTTTTTTAAAATCATTTTATGATTTTAAAACTCTCTAGTTGTTTCTGTGAAAAAATGATTTAAAAATCATTACCTCCCATAAACTTATCTGCTCAGTATAAACGGGATACCCTGTTTTTGTGAAGCTCCCTCTAGTGGATCTTTGTTTAATCCGCCCATGTGCCCGGAAGGCCAGTCTCACCTGGAGAAGGAACAGAGCCTGAAGCAAGAGGTTGAAGAGCATGTCAGCAATTATTTTGCTGACACTAGGGAATGGGTGAGGCTTCCTCCCAGATACCTCGAATGCCAGGTCAGCTATATCCTGCAAGAAAGAAGAGCTCACCAAAACATGAATTAAATGGCCTCACTATCTATCCCCAAAGTGAAGGCCACTGATTTGCCATGAGACCTGCCAGGGGAGAAAAGCCCATGGACACCTGGCCATGAGATGCCCTTATGACCTGAGAGAATAATTCCATTTTACAAGAGCCCAGAGCTCACGCGCTGGCTGCCTGACCAAGAAAAGTTCAGGCTGTGGCGTCACTCCCTACATGGCCACTAAACTGACAGGCTGAAACCTGCCACCTGGTGACCAATCATGCCGTCAGACCCAGACTCCATGCTGTTCTGGACCTACCTGAAACCAAATCGCGTTGACGACTTTGCTGAGCACAAAGAGGGGGAGCACCCAGAGAGCACTGAAAATTGATGTGAGGAAGAACTCCAGCCAGGACCAGACATCCCCGTGTAGTGACGGATCACCTAAGACAGGGGGAGGGCTTATTAGTTCACCTGGAAAAAGGGAAAGCCAGAAGGCTAGAGGTGCATCCCCTGACCTGTGACTGTGTTTCCCCTACACACACACACACACACACCCTATACACACACACACACACACACCCCTACACACACACACACCCCTTTTCTTCTTGCCAGCACATCACTGTACCTGTTCCAGGCAGTCTTACTTTTCACAGAAACACCACATTCTGGCCATGACTCCAATTCAGAGTGGCCATGGATATGTGCTGCTTACTTGTACAAAAAAATGCTCACTTGGTGGTGGCTGACAGGTCAGTGACTAGTAGTCACTGGATGCAGGAATCCACCTGAGTTCATATTCCAGCTTCGCCACTTACAAACGGTTTAACTTTGGTAACCAATTTGCATTTCCTATCTACAAAATGGTATCCATAGCAATACCTACTCAAAGGGTTGCTGAGAGATTTGACTTAGAAGAATCTGCCTTGCAAAGCAAGGGACACGGGTTCGATCCCTGGTCAAAGAACTAAGATCCCACATGCCTCAGGGCAAATAAGACCTGATGCAGTCAAACAAATAAATACATAAAAAACCTAAAGCTCCAGGTTTAAAGTAAGTGTTCAATAAACTGAGGGAGACAGGAAAAACCTCCCCCACTCTATCCTGGGCAGATAGCATTGAGCAATGGAGTTACTTACCAATAATCTGGGCTGTTACCGACTGAAGGATGGGAATGAACACTCGATAAAACAAGAGGAGACTGAACTAAAGGAGAGAAGCAACAAGGTAAGCATTAAAAGCCCTTCTTTAAAAGAAGAATTCCAAGTTTCAAAGCACTTATTTTCCAGATGGAAGCGCCTTTTATAAATCAGGAGTCCTGCAGTGGCATCACTTCCTGAAGTGGACTCATTTCTCCTTACCAGTTCTCCAGTTGAGAGGTATACACCTGACACTGCCTATGGACACAGTAAAACTTTGGGGGTCAGAGGAGAACATTTCAATCAGTACTCATGCCAATACTAAGAACACAGTCCTATTTGATTAATTAAAGCTAACATCTAAAAACATTTGTGAAATGTTTAGATTAACAAGTTGAATTATACTGAATTTCAAGTCGAAGAAAATATTTTTACTATCTGCTTTTCAAAGTACTCAAATTTCTCCTGGGGCTGTGTTGGTCCTCAGTCAACTGCAGACAACTTTCTGGTGTGAGTTTCCATAGTAATCAATTTGAGGACACTGCTATGACCAGGAGAAGGGAGAGCCTCGCTCATGTCCATCTGTCCCTCCCCTTTGAGCCTTCACTGTCACTCTGAACCAAAATGTCCAGACAATGTCATGAGAAATTGTTACCTGTGACAATAAAACTTAAGTCATTTAACAAAAAAGTGTAAGTACAGGGCTGTCCCTGACATTTACATACAAGAATTCTGAGGGGGCATAAAATGACTGAAAGTACACAGAATCCTGAGTGAAGGCCTTAGGAATGCATTACTAGGTGAAAGCTACCTGTCTCAGTTTTAAGAAGACAGCTGAGAACCATGAACATTGCAACAATCTGAATAAAGATGCTTCTAAGGCGCTTGGAATTTGAGGAAAAAGAACTTACCCAGAAAACTCCACCATTCCAAGCGCAGCACTGAAAAATTCTGCTAACAATACGTGGTTCACTGGAAAAGACCACATGTGTTTAGCTTAACAGGAATATAGGCTATTTCCATGCTGTCATTCAGCATCTCTCCTTTTTATATATTTTCTTTGCACCATGTTATTTTTTAGCACCTATTGTTCTGCCAATGTTCTCTCCTAATGTCAATGAGAAAGGCTAAAACTATTTCAAGAGAAGCATTTTTCCTTAAAAACAAAACAAACAAACTCCTTTATTTCCTAAGTCCAAGGCTGGAGAAGATTAGAAGGGGATGTCTGAGATTCTTTTATCAAAATCCACATAGGCGCTCCTAGAAGCATCCACTCAGCCAAAAAAATTTTTTATGGTTCTCTAGTCACCAATCTTGGAGAAGGAAATGGCAACCCACTCCAGTATTCTTGCCTGGGAAATCCCATGGACAGAGGAGCCTGGTCCTTTGGGGTCGCAAAGAGACGGACATAACTTAGCAACCAAAACAACAATGACATTCATCATTCTGATTTCCTTTAGACACCACAGTATTTTGAACAAGGATCACTGCTAGACCTCAGTTTAATTCAATGTGACCACAGTATTTTGAACAAGGATTACTGCTAGACCTCAGTTTAATTCAATGTGAGGGGAGTAGGGAAAAATCACCTGTAACTTTTATGGGGGAGAAAGTACAAAAGATAAATGATGGAGTAGTGAAACTCCACATCATTATGTAGTGTCTGAATTTTATGCTAAATTCGATCACTGCCTAAAGTGTCCCCCTACCGCCAACTGGAAGGGAGCCCAGACGCTCCCTGACCTCAGCCCCACTCCGTACCTCTCCTGCTTCCTCTCTATGCTCTGGGCCCTCCTCTGAGCCAGGACGCTGCTTGCCCTTCTTCGACGCTGCTCCTCTCTCTTTTGCTGAATTCGAGCATCAAGCTTTGAGATGGTACAAATTCCCCAGATGGAGTCTTTGATTCCCTGTAGACATGAGCATTTATTATTTTTAAAGAAGGGAAAATTATGGATCAGAAGACTTCCCAAAGTTAGATACAATGAGATAATAGTGCAAATCATTCTACTTAGTTTGCTACAAGGCCGAAGTGACCCTTGATATTCTTCTGTTTAGAAATCATTCCCAATTTACAGAAGAGTCGCAAGAATGGAGAACTTCCCAATATCCTTTCTCGAAATCACCAGTCGTTGTGCCACACTGTTATTTATTATTACTGTTTATACATATATACTCATTTTTTTCTAGATCATTTGAGTAGGTTGCTATTATCATGTCTCTTTACTTGTAACTGTTCATTGTGTATTTCCTAAGAACAATGATATTCCTTAATACAAGATAGTTATCTATAAAAGAAATTAAACACGAAAATGGTTTAATCTATAGCCCATACTCCAATTTCCCCATTTGTCTCAGAAATGCCCTCTACAGCATTTTTACCCGTCACATACCAGATATCAGCTCAGAATCACATGTTGCACTTAGCTCTCGTATCTCTTTAGTCTCCTTCCATCAGGAACAGCTCTATAGCTGTCTTCCTTTTTGAAGTATACACATCAGTTATTTTATGGGGTGCCCTCAATTTGGGTTTGTTTGTGACCTCATGATTAGACCCCAGGTTACCCATTTTTAGCAGGAGTTATCACCTAGGTGGGGCTTCCCAGGTGGTTCAACGATAAAGAATCCACATGCCAATGCAAGAGACATGGGGCTGAACCCTAGGTTGGGAAGAGCCGCAGAGAAGGAAATGGCAACCCACTCAAGTATTCCTGCCTGGGAAATCCCAGAGAGAAGAGTCTGGTGGACTATAGTCCATGAGGTTGCAAAGAGTTAGACACGACATAGTGACTAAACCACAAGAATCACCTACGTGATGGTGTGCCTTTCCAGGTGTTACATCCAGAGGCATGTGATGTCTGTGTCGGCCCTTGCTGGTTACACTGATCTTACATGTTCACAAGGTGTTATCCAGCTTTGTACGACTGCAAATTTTTCTCCTTGCAACTAGTAAGGAATCTGCAGGCAGACATTTCTGAGACCAGGCAAATACCCTGCTCATCAAGTCCTCTTCCCTAGATTTGGGCATCAATTAACAAGTCTTGCCCAAACCAATCTTGAATAACACGGTTGCAAAACAGTGGTTTTCTGATCCCTCTAAGACTTACCAATACTGTTAAGCAAGTTATAGCTCTCCTTTATACTCTTTTAATATGAATTGAATGCCTACAAGTATGATTTATATCCTGTATCAAACCAGCGATACAAGGATAGATTAAACATTGGTCTCCAAAAAGGACCAGGGCTGGACCAAGGCTGAAGGAAGACACAAAGAAATAATTACTGTAAAAGTATGAAAAGCTATTGCTGAGTAAGACGGAAACAACATGGGAGTATAGCTGGAGGAGAATGTCTTTAAACAGGGTATGGTGAGGGAGAGAATGATTAAGTCTGTAAGTCACTGACGGGGCCACTTGCCAATAACTGGAAGAGCCCCAGTGGTAGAAAGGTTACTGTCATTACTACGAACATCAGACCTGCCTATTACTCAGTTCAAAGGACTACCCTCATTCATCCACCCACTTTCATACTGAGCATCCTTAATGAGCTAGACAGCAGTCATATGGACATGCTTAAGAAACTCATAACTCAGCAGGAAAAGTACATTAAGTAAACAACAACAATAACAAGTATATAGTTTAGTAAGTGCCAGAACAGTTTTATACCCAAAGTAGAGAGGGAAGAACTAGGCTTCACACCATCAACACCATCAAGAAGCAGAAAAAGGTATTCTGGAAACAATGGTCAACCTGGATTTAAGAATGGCATTTTCTCCTATTATGAGCTAAAACAGATTTTAGAGAAATTGGTCAGAATACAGAGAAATGGACAAGGTTATGAACTACACACAGAAAGGAGCATACACTGGCAAGGTTCACGTGATCTGTTACCTATGAGTAATGTTTATTCTTATTTTGCTTTTTAACTTCTGAGTCTTCCACAAACAGTTTAAAATTTTAAGATCATTAAGTTCAAGTGGCTTAAGGCCTAGCACGTGCCAGGATGATGACAGGATCCCCACCTCTGACACTTACAGTCTGTCTGGGGCAGACAAACACAGAGAGTGCATGCTGTATAACTGATCCAGAGTTGACATTTTATCACACAAGAACAGCAAGACAAGGATGTAATAAGGTATTAAAAGAAGGTCACATTGCATGAATTCGCTTTGGCCCTTCTAAGATATTCCTTCAATTCCACCTCTTTTAATCAAAGGAAATAAACTTATAAATACTCCCACTCCCAGGCAGAACTGGTCTCTCTCCCGCCCTCAAGAATAAAGCAACATGGACTCCAACTAGGGCACTGGACCTCAGACATCACTATACCGGAATGTCATGCTATTGATCATTCGGGTTACTAGGTCCTAAACAGACCTTTATGGGTCTGTTGAGTAGGGGTCCTAAATGTCTCTTTAATGGGTCATTTTCCTAGAGCATCATCATCTCTGCCTTATAGAATGGAAGAGTAAGAGAGGTTCTATACTGTAGACCCAAACAAAGTAGGTTAGGTAGTAGCATTACATCAATGTTCATTGCTTTGTTTTCAACAATATACCTTGGTTACATAAGATGGTAATATTAAGAGAACCTGGTGAAGGATACAGTGGAGCTCTCTGTATGACCAGACAACTTCTCTGCAAGTCTAAAATTATTCCAAAATAAAGTTTAGGGAATTCCCTGGTGGTCCAGTGGTTAGGACGCCATGCTCTCAAGGTCAAGGGCCCGATTCAATCCCTAGTAGGGGAACTAAGATCCCACAATTCACTTGGCATGGTCAAAAAAAAATACAATTTAAAAAAAAAAAAAGTCTGGGCCCAAGCTGAACAGGGTCCCCATACTAAAGACACTCACTAGACAGGTCTCCCAAGTTTCTGTGAGATGCAGGATAATTCCTCTCTCTTGAGTAGTATGGATTAGAGTGAAAACCTGTATCCAACAAATATAATACTACCTAACGGATTTTCTAGTCAGTTCCTGCAGCAAAAGGGTCAGAAGAAGATTGGACGTACTCACCCTGGCAAGGTCCTGCAGAAAGGTTTTGACACTGTCAGCCATCTCTTTACCGCCCAAACTATCAACTACACAAAAGAGAGAGAAGTGTCCCCAGAATTTTCATCATGAAGGACCTGAAAACAGATGGAGTATAATTAAGGAAAAATATTTATCTTCAAGTTACTTCATGCACTTCTACATGACGTTTTCCACATCCTTCTCTAGTAGGAGTGCAGTAGATTCTATCAGTTAAGTAGATACTAGTAAGTGAACCAAGTGAGATTATACCTGTAACTGCTGAAAAACCTGAAATCAACAATTTTTAAATCACTTGCTCCCCTTTCACTTTTATTCGGCATAAATGTGCCCTTGGACCATTAGTCTCTTCTCTGGGCCATGATGTCCCTAACTATTCCTCCTTTGTTGTTGTTCAGTTGCTAAGTTGTACCCAATTCTGTGACCCCATGAACTGCAACACGTCAGGCTTTCCTGTCTTTCACTATTTCCCAAAGTTTGCTCAAACTCATGTCCACTGAGTTGATGATGCCATCCAATCATCCCTGTCACCCTCTTCTCTTCCTGCCCTCTATCCTTCCCAGCATCAGGGTCTTTTCCAATAAGTCATATCCGGTAACCATCCCTTCTACATATCCCAAGTATTTTTGAGATCCAAGATCATGAGTAATAATTACACTTCAATATCCTCTTAGGCAATATCTATGCTTGATGTTACTTGAATGCAAATACAAGAGCAAGATGAAAGTTCTAACAAAAATTGTTAAATACGCACTTCATACATGGGGCCCTCCAGCAGAGGTAAGTTTAGATGATGATGTAAAATTTCCCAAGACCCTCAAATATGCCTTTCCTGTTTTCCAACTTTAAATATGTACATATATATGTAAAATTTTAATAAGCATGCAAGAAATAATGAATTTTAAACTAGGCCAAAAAAAGATTAAGTTCACATATACAAACATATCTTTAACACACTATAACTTTCCCACTGTATTTTTTGAGTCCATCTATGTCTCTGTAAACAACTCAACTTTGCTCCTTTTTATGGCTGAGTAGTACTCCATTGTTGTACTTCCTCTGTTGATGGATATCTAGGTTGTTTCTATTTCTTGGCTATTGTAAACAGTGCTCTAATGAACATAGGGTTGTGTGTGTCTTTTTGAATTATCGTTTTCTCTGGGTTCCCACTGTATTTTTTTATTAGGTGTATGAAAAATCTAGCTTCATATAATAATAACTTGAAAGTTCACATGTATACATATTACAATATCATGCTCCCAAGTAATGTGTTTAAGATGAATGAAGAACCCATTTTCAAACATCTATTTAAGAACTTGGGATTCTGAAATTCTCAAATGTGACTTAATCAATCCGAGATATGCTGAGTTTAAGAAAGAGCGCATAATGACAATATCACAGGCAGCTTCTATAAACCTCAAATTTCAAAACATAAGCACCCTTTGCTTACTGACCACTTCACCAAACTATACCTTACTGACCCAACTGGACCACTGCCACCTAGAACAAGAAGAGCAGAGAATACAGCAGTGGGAAGGCAACTTACACAACGCTGTATGTACCATCTGCTCCTTGGGTCAAATCCTACACAGATACACTCAGAGTCAGGTGAATAGTTAATACTCATGATGATACATAAGACACTGGTTGCTAAAGACTATCACGGATTCATTCTTAATCGTCTACTTCCTTGTCGATGAATTAAGGGTATTAAATTTCTTCCTAGGTTTTGAGTATAGAGCGCAATAACATTAAAATAAAACCTTAACTTCTAATATAAACATAATCCCACTACAGAATGAGCTAGTTTGGGAGTTTAAGGAAACAGATTACTTAGTCTGGGTTTCTCACAAACTGCTGACACAACTTGAAGCATGTCGGGCCTAATTCAAGGGGAAGACCTCTGTTATGTGAACCATGGCCATTAACACCTGGCTACTGCAGGGCTTCCCGTGAGGTTCAGCTGGTAAAGAATCCACCTGCAATGCAGGAGACCTGGGTTCCATCCCTGGGTTGGGAAGATCCCCTGGAGAAGGGAAAGCCTACCCACTCCAGTATTCTGGCCTGGAGAATTCCATGAAGCATACAGTCCATGGGGTCGCAAAGAGTCGGGCAGGACTGAGCGCCTTTCACTCTGCGGTAACAAACAAGTCGCGAGTTACCTACTGACCAACAGTGGCTTCTGAGGACAAGTCACTTCAATTTTACAAGGAGACCCTAGCAGACTTGCTCCAGAAATAGTTGGTGAATTATCCGGTTTGACAAAAAAGGTCAGACATGGAGAAAAGCAACCTGCCACAACCGGAGACCAGAGACTGAATAATATACGGAGGGAATCCTCCAACTGAGGTGAAAGTAAATGAGATACATCTAGTTCACAAGATTTCACAGACGGAGGAACTGAGTCTCTGAAGTTAAATGGCTTGCCCACGATTACAGCACGCGAAAGGCTACAGAGAACTTCAAAACCCCGGTATTCCAGCCCTCGAGGCTGTCTACTCAAGCTTTGCGATGAGGAATTTTGTTTAACCCGAGCATCCCAGGGACAAAATGTTTCTTAAGCCTGTAAACACAGCTGGCCATTAAATTCTTAAGCAGTCATGAGAACTATCTACTGAGGCACAGTCCTGTACTTTCATTTCTAAGTCACTAAATCCAAGTCCGGAAGGCAGGTGGCTGTCACATCCCACTCCAGGTGCGCTAAACGTAAGCATCCTCTCTTCTCACCGGGCTCCGCGGACGCTCGGAGCCCACAGGTCCCTTCGGACCCGTCTCCCCGCAGCTCCTAGGCAAACTCCAGTGGAAGCTGGTCTCTCTCGGCAACCACAGCCATGCACGAGGCGCGGGGCAAGCTCACCTCCCGTCACACAAGGAGCTCAACCGAGCCGCGCCGCACCTGGGCAGAGGTTCGCCCGCGGCTGCCGGCTGCGTCCCCCGCCCCAGTCCTGCCCCGCCGCCGAGGCACTTTCAGGTCCGGGGTCCCCGCCCGCAGCCTCCGTCCGCACCTCCCAACCCCGAGCTCGGGCCCTGCTGCCCTCCCACGCCATCGCCGCCCCTGCCGCCGGGGTCCACCCCGCGAGCGGGCTGCGCGGCGCCAGGGCCCGGCTCGGCCGAGCTGCACCTACCCGGCAGCTTCGCCGCCGCGGCTCCGGCTCCAGCCGGGTCCCTCGCCCGCCGCCGGTCCGCTCGTCTCCTCCGAGCCCCTCCGCGCCGGGCCGCCCGCTCCCGCCCGGGCGCTGCCAGGGCCGGGGCCGCTGCGCCCGCACTGGGCATGCCCGGGCCGCACGGGGCCGCTGGGAAGTCGGGCGGGCGCCGAGTCCAGCGGCCCGGGAGGAGGGGGCGGGGCCAAGGCGGGTGAGGGGGCGGGGCTACGTGGGGACGCAGCCTGGAAATGCAGTCAGAGAGCCGAGCCGGTTGAGTGCCGGGTCGGTGCTCCGCCGCTTCCCCGCACGCTGTTCCTCCATCGCCGCCCGGCTGCCCTCCTTCCGGATCCAATATCTATTAATAGTTCTTTGCTCTCTCCTTTTTACTTCTCCGAGGTTGCCTGTCTTTCTATTATAAAGCCTAACAACGGAACAATAAGATGCAGAAGTCATCTTGTTCTATTTGGTTGGAGATTTTCTGTAACCAAAGAGTACTAAGGAATGCTGGGTTTAAATCAAGCTCATTCACCTATTGAGAATAAAATGACTAAGAATAGGTCAGCGGGCCTTCCCTGGTGGTCCAGTGGCTGAGACTCCCCAGCTCCCAATGCAGCGGACACGGGTTTGATCCCTGGTCAGGGAACTAGATCTCACATGCCACAACTAAGACCTGGCGCAGCCAAATAAATAAATAAATATTTAGGGGAAAAAAAAAAAGAATAGGTCAAGCTGCCATGCAGTTTAGCTGCCTTAGACTTTGTCTTCTGGCAGCACAGTGTTGGCTGAGATGAAAACGGTCAAGTAAATAGAAATGTTTTCACCTCTGAGGCCACCAGTCTGTCTCTACCCCAGGGCGTCGAACCATCAAGCCTGATCTATAACCTTTTTCTCCCCTATTCCCAACCTCCTATATCTCTCACTCCACACTTTTTCTCTGCTTTCCATTTGCTTTTTCCTTCACCTTTAGGTTTGCTTAGAGCTACTCCGATCGGGCCACCAATAGAATCAGAATTTTACAACTAGAAGTTATTTAGTATAACCTTACATAGTGTAAGCCCAAATGTCTTCTGACTTACTCAGGCTCAGTGACAAAACAAATACTCAGACCTCTTGACTCTCTTCGAGTTAGTTATTCACCTCTTCTTCCCTGACCAACTTCCAGCGCCATTCCAGAATAGACGAGACCTCTACCCTGAGCCTGCGGAAACTTTACCAGGAAGACGGTCCGGAAGTAAAAACTAACAAGATGGGAGAAGAAAACTAAGAGTTGAGAATATCAGAAGCCTCTGAAATAAAGGGCCAACCTGGAATTTATATATGTAAACCCCTTGGGAGGGGAACTTTTCTCTTACTTGTTTTTGCCTTGGCAATAATTTCATTTTCACTGAGAATAGATCTATGAATATCCAGTCAAGTTTCCTTTTCTTCTAAATCTATTGCTTGATTTTCTCCACAATTAAAGAGAATGGAAAGGTGGAACAGGAAGAGGTCTCATCTCACTTGCCTTCCCTCTCAGAATGGCTGTTCCGTGTTGCCTGATAAATTGTTTCATGTATGTTGTCTGTTTTACTTAACACATTTATTGTTTTATTTTTTGGCTGCATCTCACAGCTTGCGGGATCTTGGTTACCCAACCAGAGAGTGAACCTGCACCCCTTACAGTGGAAGCATGGAGTCTTGACCACTGGACCACCAGGGAAGTCCCTATGTTGTCTGTTTTTCTATTGTTTCATATGGAAAGTGAATTCAGGTCCTGTTACTGCATTGTGGCCAGGAAAGGAATTCCCCTTCCTAGGCAATTTGAGTCATAATTATTCTGCAGGGCTTCATAGGTGGCGCTACTAGTAAAGAACCCTTCTGCCAATGCAGGAGATATAAGAGGTT